CGTGAGTAAAAACCTCAAAGTGAGGTTTTTACTCACGAAAGCTTATGCCCAAATAAATCTGTTAGTCTTTAAGGTGCCACCAGACTCCTCGTTGTTTTTGTAGATACAGACTAACACGGCTACCCCCTGATACTTGACACCTCACAAGTGTAGTGTAAGTTAATGAATGTTTGTAGAGCTCTTTAAAATTTTCATCTGAAAAGTGCCATATAAATGCAAAGTAATGTACTTCCTTCCCCATTTCCTGTTGTGCATTGGGATTGCAGAGGTCTCAGATTAATGTGGAATCCTGTATTTCACATGCACTGCAATACTACAGCAGAGTGGAGTGCTTGACTCTGAATTTTCTTCCTTTAATTTCAGACCTTCAACTGCTATTGTAATATTTACTTAATATATATTTTATAAAAACACAGTCATTTAAAAAGAGAAACAAAACAATTTGATTGGCAGATACTTCATACGTCAAAGATTTGCTTGCAATCATTATATCTTCTGTGAACAGAGCTGTTCCTTTTACTATGACTTTGCATAGCCTCCTTGCTACTCATTTTCAGGAACTTAGTACACATACCTGGGTCTTTCAAGATTCCCATTCTCACACAAAAACATCAAAGCTGACTCTGCAGCATCTCCCTGATAACTCAATAGAGGCACTGGTGTCTTCAGTACCCCTAAAGCGAACAAAAATACAAAATGGATTCCATAGGTCATTTTTTGTGTGCTTAGCTTGGATTTTAAAAGAACAGAACAGTTAGAACTGTAAGGTGATTCTAGCAAACATATGATTGTGTAAGACAATATTTCCCAGTTGGAAATACTGCACTAGTTGCCCATCTTTAGCTTTTGCACAATTCAGAGCTACAAGTCAGAGTCTAGAGACATTATTTGGACTGACAAAAATGAGAAGATGTGCAGGGATGAAGACACTTTAAAAATAAGCTCTCTTCTCACCTCTTTCTTTTTGATGATACACTACATTTCAAAATACAATGGTAATAGGAAGAAAGATTCTAGATGGATTTCAAAAGATTAGGGACTAGATGCTCAATTGGTATAAATCAGAGTAGTTCCAATGAAGTCAATGGAGCTATGCTGATTTAGCCAGGTGCGGATCTGGCCCATTTTGTCTATATGTTAAAGCACTTCTTAAAGGCCTGATCTAATTTAGAGATTGCACTGAAATAGAGCTTGAACCAGATTAGCAAATTAAAACTGAAAAGCTAACTGTCTTTGTTGCCTAACTGCATGTTTTACCTTGCTGAACACAATCCTCAATAATCTTTTTATTCAAACCCATGGCTCTCTGGTCTGTTACTATAACAACATCTTTCTCCAAGCTCTGCAACATGGCTGCCATAGCAATGGCTCCTGGAGGTCCATCATTCTCTTCAGGTGGCTCATGGTTGAAGTGAGTAGGAAATCCAGTGGTTATCAGCACTGATTGGGCATGTGAAAGGGAGAGGCAAGTCTTTAGCAGCTCATCCTGGCAGCACAAATGTTTCACACCCCGGTCTCCTAAAAATCAAAAACATTTTATTTAAAGACAGTGCTAGATTTTTAGTATATTAATACCTCCAAGAGGTTCTGTCAGGACCAATCCCTGTCCATCACTGTCAGAGTTCCCGGCAGGGCCAACGAGAAGAGCAGCCAGGCTCTATCACTATTGATCCAGAGATAGTGACAGACCAGGGGAATGGAGACCATCAGCAAAGTACATCATCTCCCACTAGGTAAGTGCAGTGAGAGTCTCCTGAATGAACTTATAGAAGGTTGTGAAGACTATTGTCCATTCTGCAGCTCTACTGGGATCATTACCGATGTGTGTGCTTGTGAAGGATGTCATAAAGTGGTCATCATGGGGTAAATGAGTTACCCAAAATATTAGGGGATGGAGCCATGCTCTACCCCTGCCTACATTATGTTTTTCACTGGGAGTTCCATACCCCCACAAACTAAATTTGTTTGAGATGCATTTGAATAAAGCAGCAAGTTTCTAGCCTGTAATCCTAGAGTGTTATTTTTGTTGTACCTAGCAGTCCCTTTACAAAAAAGGAGAGGTTGGGAAGCCTCCCTCGGCCTGGACTGAACTGTGGATCATTATTGGAAATGAGGCTGAAGTGCAGAATTCAGATCTGGATTCAGATTGCTGAAACCCCAAACAGATGAGGGTTTCATTTCAATTTTTTATAGAGAATGGGGTACTGGTTTATAGCCAATGGGGTATTGGTTCCGCTCATTATAAATACTGAGTGAGTGGATAAATTCAGAACCAGATCCACTCTCATATTCAAAATCATTGCTAAATTCAGAAGTGTTGGGGGCAGGAGTTTTGGTAAGTGATGTGAGTGAAATGAGAAGAAAATAAGAGATGTGGGATGGGAATGCAGAAGATAAACCTAGAAAATATGACAAAAAAGACGCTGGGGCAGAGGGGATTTTGTTCATTGATCCTCCCATTCTGGAGCCACTTTTCCCTTTTAAATAATTCAAGTGTCTTGGCCCAATGTTGTTGTGTAAAGAACAAAATCAGATTCAGAGAAGATCCAGACCCCAGTTATTTTACACAAACAAGCTCAGCACATTCCTGTGTACATGTCCAAATGCAGAGATAAACATTTAAACTCAGGCTCATGCACATGCTCACATGTACACATAGAAAAACTGCACCAGGACAGGGCAAGGCAATCGATTTGTAAGTGGGCATTTCACACTGTGGCTAGGGACTGTCTCCAAAATGGGAAAGGGAAGATGTCATTCGAACTTGTCCAAAACTGTTAGCTCTAGCCTGTTTCTTCATAATAGATTATTGAATAATGGCCAAACCAGTAATTCTTTCTGAACTGGTTGAGGGATGGGGCTTGAGGGAGAGTGTAAAATTAACAGGCTGTGATTCTAGTGTAAGAAACTCAATTCTCTGGAAGAAACTGGAATACCGGGCCTAGCACAACAGGGACCAACCTGGCTATGGCCTTTAGACCATACTGCATGATGAACATTAAATAATAACAATAATATAGTCAGATTGAGCCCCATATGGCTTGGAGCTATCTGGGAGGAAGGAGTGGGACTGGATCTCTGAGTGTGTGGTAAGTGAAAATGCAGTGATTTTTTTGGTCAGAAGCTCTTCAGAGCAGTTGGATGCAGTGGCGGATTTGCCAATTGGGGCCCCCCAGAAATGTGTGCTCCCACACCCCGACCCATTTCACCCACCCGGCGCTCCTGCCAGGGAGCGGGGTCGGGGCACAGGGGCTTGCTCCGTTCTGCCTGGTGCTCCTGCCAGGGAGTGAGGCAAGCCCCTGTTCCCCGACCCTGCTCCCTGGCAGGAGCACCGGGCGGGCAGGGGAAGCCCCTGTACCCCAACCCTGCTGCCCTGCAGGAGTGCCGAGTGAGTGGAATGGGACAAGCCCCTGCGCCCTGACCTTGCTGCCCGGCAGGAGTGCTGGGTGGGGGAGCGAGGTGGGGCAAGCCCCCATGCCCCAACCCCATTTCCCCACGAGGTGTATGTGGGGAGGCTGATTGTACGCAGAAGGGATGGGGAGGGGCCCCCAATTGCTTTGGCCCAGGGCCACACAAAAGCTTAATCCGCCTCTGGTTGGATGTCACAATGCAGATGACCTCGTCTATCCAGTAGGTTGTGTCAGGACCAATCCCTGTTCTGCACTGTCAGTCTGGTTGAAGGAGAGGAGCAACCAATAACCTTTTCCGTAGCCCTAGCACTACTACAAATTGGAGGATTGGGCCAAAAGAAATCTGATGAGGTTCAACAAGGACAAGTGCGGAGTCCTGCAGTTAGGAAGAAAGAATCCCATGCACTGCTACAGGCTGGGAACTGACTGGCTAAGCAGCAGTTCTGCAGAAAAGGACCTGGGGATTACAGTGGACGAGAAGCTGGATATGAGTCAGCAGTGTGCCCTCGTTGCCAAAAAGGCCAATGGTATATTGGGCTGTATTAGTAGGAGCATTGCCAGCAGATTGAGGGAAGTGACTATTCCCCTCTATTCGACACTGGTGAGGCCACACCTGGAGTATTGCTTCCAGTTTTGGTCCCCCTCCCCCCCACTACAGAAGGGATGTGGACAAATTGGAGAGAGTCCAGCGAAGGGCAATGAAAATGATTAGGGGGCTGGGGCACATGATTTACGAGGAGAGGCTGAGGGAACTGGGGTTATTTAGTCTGCAGAAGAGGAGTGAGGACCTTCAACTACCTGAAGAGGGGTTCGAAAGAGGATAGAGCTAGGCTGTTCTCAGTGGTGGCAGATGACAGAACAAGAAGCAATGGTCTCAAGTTGCAGTGTGGGGGGGTCTAGGTTGGATATTAGAAAACACTATTTCACTAGGAGGGTGGTGAAGCACTGGAATGGGTTACATAGGGAGGTGGTGGAATCTCTATCCTGAGAGGTTTTTAAAGCCTTGGCTGGGATGATTTAGTTGGTATTGGTCCTGCTTTGAGCACGGGATTGGACTAGATGACCTCCTGAGGTCTCTTCCAACCCTACATTTCTATGATTCTATGTGTGGTCCCTATCTGTATTCCACACATGGGTATGCAGGCATACCTCATGCTTGAGTCTGGACATTCTTACAAGCACTGAATGTTGGCCCACACATACACCATAGGTCTCCTCATGCTCTTGACAAAGGGATAAGAGACAGTGCAGGCTGACGCCTCTCTACTCCCTCATCTTACTACAATCTAACAGGATCCAAAGCACAGGGAATGGAGGGCAGGTAATGGAATCAGATGGGCACCACAAATCTTGAAGAACTTCCAGTTTCAGTAAGTAACCTCTATTTCTTCTTCAAGTGATGGTTCCTATATGTATTCCATAATTGAGTGATTGACAAGCACTGTTGGAAGACAGGATACTGGGCTAGATGGACCATTGGTCTGACCCAGTATGGCTGTTCTTATGTTCTAATGTTCAGTGCTCAGGCTGGAGATGGGTGCGAGGAAGGCAGTAGCAAAGATGCTTGCAGTACTGCAGATCCCACGACAGCATCCACAGCTGATGCATAAACCAAAGCGTAGTGTGTTGCAAACGTATGGATAGAACTTCAGGTGGCTGCCTTGCAAATGTCTTGTAGCAGGACGTCATGTAGGGATGCCATTGAGGCAGCCTGTGCTCTTGTGAAATGAGCTGTGACACCCCCAGGGAAGGGATTTTTGCTACCCTGTAACACTGTAGGATGCATCCCAGAACCCACTTAGAAATCCTCTGGGAGGATATGGCTCGACGACGTCATCTTTCTGCTAGAGCAGTAAAAAGTCTCAATGATTTTCTAATTGGTTTGGTTCTTTTCAGGTAGAATGGAAGGGCACTCTGGACATCGAGGGAGTGAAGTCCTTTGTCTTCAGCAGAAGCATAGGGTTTTGGGAAAAATGCAGGTAAATGAATACTTTAGTTAATATGGAATTCAGAAACAACCTGGAGGAGAAACTTAAGGTATAGGGAAAGGGAAATCTTGTCTTTGTGAAAACTTGTACAAGAGGGTCTGCCATGATGACTCCAAGCTCACTGACACTCCTGGCTGAAATGGTAGCCACTAAAAATGCCACCTTTATGAACAGGTGAATCATGTCACCAGGGTTTGAAGGACAGACTGGTGAGAGTTGACAGGGTGAGATTAAGGTCCCATTGAGGTGTAGGTTTGATCACTGGTGGAAAGGTCCTGACAAGGCCTTTCATAAACCATGCTGTAGTTGGATGAGTGAACAGGGAATGTCAATCTACTGGAGGGAGGAAGGCATTAATCACTGCAAGGCAGACTTGCAATGAACTAATGGAGAGGCCTGAGGTCTTCAAGGACGGGAGATCATGTAGAATGTTTGGAATATTTGCAGTGGTTGCAGAGTATTGGTGGAGTTGTGCCCAACTGAAAAAGTGCCATTTGGCCAGGCAGCAAGTTCTAGTAGAATCCTTCTCCTTTGGGTAAGGATAGCCTGAACAGGAGCAGAGCATGAGCATGCTATGTACCTGCGGATCCGGGTTGAACTCATCCTCCTTGTACACTGACGGTTCCAGTTGCCAGGAGGGAGAGGAGCGGTACGATTCTTGAGAAGTGCCTGGACACCTGACATAAGAATCCCATGGACCCCAATAAGGTCAGAAGGACAGTCTATTGGTTGCGGAGGACCCAAAGTAAATCAGTACCTGTGGTCCCTGGGGAGGTCATACCCGGAGGAATAGAGAGTGTGACTCTTTGAATGTCTGTCAGAGATCGACTGTCTCCGTGGAGATATTGGAGTGGTTAGCACATCCGACTCATCTGAGTCCAAAAACTGCTCCATCATTATGGGAGCACTCCTGCCAGAGGGTTGGAGGTGAGATGGCTCCAGGAACACCGACGTAGACTCCTCCTCTGGTGTAATAATATCCCTCAAGAGGGCTGGGCTGGAGAGAAGTGGAGACTGTGGATAAGGGAGGAGTATATTCTCCAATGTTATGTAAGCCTCCGAATGCCCCAGTGTCCGAGGTTTTCTGGCAGTCAGATCCAGTGGACCTGGGTGCATCTAT